TAATACAATAAACGACACTATTAACTATAACAATAGTAAAAATAGTAAAAATAATAATTAGAATGACAATAGAAAAAGAATACCAATAATGCTGAAAATGAAAGTTATAATGAAAATTATAACGACATTTATGATCATCATCATCGTCATCGTCAGCATCATCATCATCATCATCATCATCATCATCATCATCAGAACTAACAGAGACAAAACTTCTTAAAACAAACAGCAAACAAACAATCAAACAATCAAACAAACAAAACAACAAACACACAAACAAATAATCAAACAAACAAACAAACGAAAACAAAAACATCATCATCATCATCGCCGCTCGGCAACAGAGATAAAGTCACCATCCACATAATGTACTGACAATTAATTACTACTATCACTATGATAATTATACTACTGTATCTTATCAATATTGAACTAGGAGAAGAGACTTTGCCTTAAGGAAACCCCGTCGTTTTGCCCTTGACTTTTCTTTTCTTTTCTTTTTTTTTCTTTCTTTTCTTTTCCTTGTATCAGGAGCTCTTTCTCTGACCGAGTGGAGCGTCCGTTTTCCAGCCACTTGAGGCGATCCCTAGCTTTCAGAACGATTGCCAATTACGCGCTCGTTCGAGTGTCCTTATGGATAATGTTCAGGAAGGATACGGTGCAATTTAAACAAAAATTATTTCCTTTTCTTTTCTCTTTTCTCTTTTCTCTTGTTTTTGATTGTTAATGGGTTTTTTTTTTAAAATATATTTCTTTTTTGCTAAAGTTGTAGGCTTATATTTGAATACGTTACTTAATTTTTTATTTTTTATTGTTAATGTTTTTTATTTTTAAATATATTTCTTTTTCTGTTCTTTTTTTGCTAAAGTAGTAGGCTTATATTTGAATATGCTACTCAATGTTAAAAATGTTGTCCTAGTTTTTTTTGGTGTATAATATGGTTGTTTGTTTGTTGTTGTTTTATGGAATTGATTCTCTTGTTTGTTTTGTTGTTGCTTTTTTGAACTGCAATGTAATTCCACACTGGCCTACTTTTTCCCCATATGCTCTACCATTTATGTTATACTTCAGCATAAAGTAATAACGTATTTTCTTACCTTCATATTAAGCTCAAATTATGTGGGGGAAAAATTGTTTATAAATTTTCCTTCGATTTTTTCATGCTAGTGTATTATTGGCTACTAACTGTTTACGTTTTTTGTTCATTATTTTTGAAGAAATAGACGTTACAGTTATAGTTTTGAGTTGAACAGAATTTTTAAAAATACTTATTATTTTTCTTTACCCATGTATGATTAATGTGTGGATATAGTAAAATAATTTTCATTTTTGTTCTGTTAACTAGATCTAGTTGAATTATTTCTTTTGGTTAAAAATTCAGATATGATTTTTAGTAGTTTTTTTAATTTAATAATTTTTTTTTGGGATAATGCTATTATGGACTCGCTGCCATGTCCTTTTGGGTCATTTTCAGTAAAGACACGGGTTGATTAACAGCAAAACTATTTTTAAAAAAATAAAAAAATTCGAGTACATCCCAATATTTGTCTAACTTTCTTATAATGTTTGATAAGCGATTATAATGCACCTCTTCGTGTCCTTATTAGTCTCACCCTTACGTCATAAAACTGTTTCTGTTCCTGAGATGTATTGTTAGCTGTGCTCTTTTGTAAGGAACATTATTTATTCTTCTTCCTCTCGCTATTCTTAGCTTTACTCTCACCTTTAAAACACAGTTGTGAGGTATCGTGATCAAATCAGGCGCTCGGCAAAATAATGAACTTGAAGGAAACAGTAATATTTCTGCCCTTTATGCATAACACTCGTCTCCCCCCACCCTCCCCTCC